CACTCCCGGTGCCGGGGGCGGGGGCGGCGACGTCCCGGGAGCGAGGACGCCGATGGCGTGCGCGCGTCGGCCGGGCGGGCGTGGGCCGGGCTGGGAGAAGCGGGGGCGGCTTCTGGGACGCGCCTGCGCAATCCGGCGCCCGCGCCTGGCGGCGGAGACCGAGGAATTGGAGATCCGGGGGAGCTGAGCGAGTCCGACCTGGGCACTTCAGTAGGCTTTTCAGAGAGGGTATGAGTAGAGGTACTCAGACACGCAGCTGGCAGAATTCTGTTTTCTTGATTTTCTGTGTTTTCTTTGTTTTTGTTTTTGTCATCGTTTTAATACAACCAGACAACAACAAAAACGTTGGTGTTTACTATTTACAGATAAAGTATGGGCCATATGTCCTCCAGTCTGGGTCTCCAGTCTCAGGCCTCCGTCCTCTACCTCCACCTGGGCGGCAGGGGGAGGGGAGAAGAGATATTTAAGGCACGTTTTTCTTTAGGAGTACCTGGTAAATTAATCTCTAACATTAAAGCATCCCAGTTTAATTTAATATAGACTCACTGGGGGCCAGCAGGTGGCGTGGAGGTTGCAGTGGCTGGATCCCAAGTGGCTGACTAGGGTTCCAGTCCCAGATAGGTCAGCTTGAAATACTGGAGTGTGTTCATGTGTGCTCCAAATTCCGAGAATGGAGGAGAAAGGATTGGGGGTGGCCATTCCCCTTGTGGGTGTGTGTGTGTGTGTGTGTGTGTGGGGGGGTGATTTCTTACTTCCTCTCTCCAGCAAGTAAGTGCATGTCTGTCCAACAAATACCCGTTCCCCTTACTTAACAAATGGTTTAACAGGCCACCTGGAGCACAGCTACATTTCCCCTATTTCCATGCACCTAGGTGTTGCTGTGGAACTAACCTCTGGGCAGTGGAGGTGTCCCTTAGGACTTTCAGGAAGGCGCCTTTAAAAAGAGACTGTGGGCCAGTCAGTGTTGTGGTTGCTGGATCCTACCTGTCAACTCTGTTTTGAGTCCTGATCTGTCAGCTCAAAAAAATACTCTGTAATGGGGCCAGCAGGTGGCCTGGTGGCCTGGTGCTGAACTCCCAGTGGTTGACTGTGGTTCAAGTCCTGGACTTGATGGCTTGGTTTCTCACTTTCGTTTTTTTCTTTCTGGTGAGCACATAAGCCCTGTGAAAATTTAAAAATAATGATAAATAAAATTAAATAATTCTTACACACACACACACACACACACACACACACACACACTGGGCATGTGTGCCCCAAAATTTTGAGAATAGAATAGGAGGGATTGCGGTGTGTCTATCCCCCCTGGGGGGGGTGGTTTCTCACTTTCCCCCTTTCTGTCTCTGTCTCTCCAGCAAGCGCATGCGTCTATGGCAAAAATCTAAAAAAAAAAAAAAAAACCACACTAAATGGTTAATTTCCATGACTGCCAAAAGTGCCTAAATGTGGTCTTATTTTCCCTTATTTTCTGTTTCTTGAATCTGTAAATGTATGCCCTTCACCAATTGAAGAAATTTAGGGCCAATATTTCTTCATTTTTTTCTGTCCCATTAGCCTAATCAGAGGAGAGGTACCACAGATACCATTTATGTGCATGTTAAATCTTTAGATATTGTCTCATGTATCAAGACTCTATTCATCTTTTATTATTATTATTATTATTATATATTTTTGGAGAGGATTTTGCTATAGGGTGTGTGTGCTCGCCAGACAGAGACAGAGAGCTAGAAAGTGAGAAATCATCCCCCAGGGGGGATGGCCATGCCACAATCCCTTCTCCTTCATTCTCCTCTTGGGATCTTGGGCACGCACACACCCACCTGGCGTGAGTTTAAGCCACCAGGTCCGGGACTTGAACCGTGGTCGACTGTGTGGGAGTCCAGCGACATAGCCATTACGCTAACTGCTGGTCCCATGACTCTATTCATTTTTTTAACTCTTTTTATCCTCTATGCTTAAAATTGGTAAATTTTTAAAAATAATTTGTTTAATTATTACTTTTTAAATTTGCTACAGGACACATGCACTCACCAGAGAAAGATAGATGCAGAGAGAGGGAAGGTGAGAAAGCAAGCTTCCAGGTCTCGGACTAGAACCATAGTAGACCATGTAGGAGTCTGGCACTCTAACCACAACACCCACTGGCCCTCAAATGGGTAACTTCTAATTATTATCCTCCAATGTAATTTTTCCAGTCACTTCCATACTTCTATTAAGTCTATTAGATAATGTTCTATTTCTGGAATATCCTTTGGTTATTTTCTTAAGAGTGTTTTTTAATCTCATATGTGAGAGAGAGATCCACACATAGACCCTTTTGGTTGTTTTGTTTTTAAATTTGCTTTAGGGTGCATGTGATCATTGGAGAGAGAGACGGGGGAAGTGGGGAGTGAGAAAGCACCCCCCCAGAGGGGATGACCAGGCTGCAGTCTTTTCTCCTCTACTCCTCTTGGGATTCTGGACATGCATGCACATGTGCCTGGTGTGATTTTCAGGCTGCTGAGTTTGCAGCTCCAACCGTGTAGTCAGCCATGACCGTGTACTCAGCCATGAGGGATCCAGTTACCTTCACCACCATGCAATCTGGCTGCCCTCTTTTTCTTTCTTTCCTTTTCCTTTTTTAAAAAGAGGTTTTTGCCATAGGGCTGGTGTGCTCACCAGAGAGACAGAGACAGTGAGAGAGAAAGTGAGAAATCACGCCCCCAGAAGGGATGGCCATGCCACAATCCCTTCTTCATTCTCCTCCTGGGGTTTTGGGCACACACACGCACACACAACTGGTGTGATTTTCAAGCCACCAGGTCTAGGACTTGAACCGTGGTCGGTGATGTGGGAGTCCAGCAATATAACGACTATGTCATCTGCTAGCCCCTTGGTTATTTCTTATAGTTTCTATTTCCTTGCTGAGATAGCCTATCTTTACTTTTTTGGGGGGGAGGGGTAAGATTTTTGCTACAGAGTGAGTACACCTGCCAGAGAAACAGAGAGAAAAGGAAAATGATAAATCACCCCCGAGGGAGGGTGGCTTCACAGCAATACCTTCTCTTCTCCTCTCAGGATTTTGGGTACACATGCACACGCATCTGGCAAATTTTTCAAGCTGCCAGGTCCAGGACTCAAACCAGTCAGCTATGTGGGCTCAAGCACCTTAACCACTATGCCATTTGATGGCCCCTATCTTTACATTTGTTATATTTGTCTTTGCATCATTATGCAAAAGTACCTGTGTAAGATCCTTGCCTGCCAATTCCAGGTGTTGGAGATAGGATCTTGGGGGTTGACCTGCACTCATTGTTTTCTCATAAGAATGGGTCATATTTTTATAGTTCTTTGAATGACAAGTAATTTTGGATTGTATTCTGAAGATTGGAAATGTTCCATCATAAATACTCTGGATTATGTATTGGATCGTCTGGAAAGTGTTCCATTTTTGCATAGAAAAACGTCATGATTTTCCCAACGACCTAATAGTATGCCTCTGGAGGTGCTTTATTAGCAAGAAGTTAACTTGTTTTAGCTTTTCTCAAATGTCAGTTCTGTTTTTCACCCTTAAGTTTGGATGTTTTTATTGTTCTCTACATGTGATTTATAATTCAGCCAGAGACTTGGGCCTTTCTCAGGAACAGTATCATGAGCCATTTGTCTCCCAGGGGTCAGTTCTCCAAAATCTGCCTGGCATTCATTCTACTTCAGTGTCCACCTCAGATGTGGAAGACCAGAGCCTTAACCACCACACTATTTGCTAGCCCTATTGTGTGTTTTTCAAGCTACTGAGGGCCAGGATTCAGACTGTGTGGTAAGGCAGTTGGGAACCAACTCCCTCAACCACTAGACCATAGGACTGACCCAAGACTACTGTTAGAAAGTTAATACAGTAATTCAGGCTGAGGGCCTGAAGTTAATAACAATGAGGACGAGATTTGATGAATTACAGAAAAACCCAAGAGGTAAAATAACGGTTATTTTCCTTGTTCCATCCTGGTGGGGAAGAAAGAAAGAGCAAGTGGAAGGCAAGTGAATCAACTGGAAGTGCATGCAGAATTCGCGCATGCAGAATTCGCACATAGCATGTCTGCGCGTAGTCCAGTGGCCAAAACCTAGTCGTGTTGCCTTACCTAATGGCGAGAGAATGTAAGAACCATGGACTCCACTGGGGCAGTCAAAACTTGGGGCAGGGTAGGGGCCTATCAGAAGAAAGAGAAGAGAAAGGAAGGAAAGAAGGAAGGGATAATGGGGAACAAAAGCAGCCTCTACACTAGTCAGCCCCTCTGGGAGCTAGGTACTTGGAACCTTTTTCTGCCACAAAGCAAATTTAAGCCCTCCCCAGGAGACACAACTCAAAGTTCCCTCTTGATTCCGTATGGAGCAAATGCTCAGGATCTCTAGATGACTATGCTACTGAAAGGAAGACAGGAAGACTGAAAAGTGGAGACAATAACTATCAATACTTCAAAGATACATTTAAAAAGTCAGCTTTCAGGCCAGAAGGTGGTATGGTAGTTAGGGTGTTAACAATGTGGATTCCACAAGGCCAGCTGCAGTTTGAGTCCTGGACCTGACGGCTTGAAAATCACAAAAAATAAATAGATAAAAAATAATAATAATAATAATAAAAAGTCAGCTTTCCACTCATAATTGAAAGATCTGAATTTAGTTTTTTTTTTAATTATTATTCCAGCAAACATTACACTAGAGAAAATGGGAAAATCCAAACAGATTCATTAAAAACACAGACCGATTATTCATATCTATTACATTCAAAAGTATGCAAAACCATTTAGTTATATTGCAAAGCTGTAACTCTTTTTCTAACAAAGCATTATTTTATAAAACTGTAGTGGTGCCATTGATTCAATTTTTATACAAAATACTTATATACACAATACAATAAAAAAGTAAACCATGTAGTGCCTTCCACAAAGGGATATATTAAGGCGCTTTACAAATATACCACTATGTTGATCCAGATTACTTTTTGCTTTAGATTAAAATGAACAGGCTAAATGCTTCATTTAAATACCAAAGAGATCTTTATTAAAGAGAAATTTCTAAAGTACCTTAGGTAACAGCAGCAGCAATGTCTAAAAATCCTCCCACTGTATTCTCTAATTCCTAACATATTAAGTCAGAATAATCAGAATAAAACATTTTCACTCACAGTTTTGCACTTTGCAACAGCAGAAGGTAATAACTTTTTAAAAAAGTCAATCTCAAAGTGACTCCTTAGTCATACATTCTATAGTTTCTAGTACAAATAAGAAGGTAGGAAAGATACAGCAACAGGGCCTGCCTTAGGGTGTCATGAGACAATACATAACAGTATCTACAATTACATAATTATAGAACACATTTCATAAATACTATGGATATACATAAAAAGGGGTAAGTATAAGAAAGACAGCAAGTTTTTTTAATAACAAACTTTAAAAAAAGAAAACATGTAGAACCAATGTTTTCACTCCATTTTGATCAGGAGTACCTAGATATTTTAATGTCATTCTCATTTTTTTTTTTTGGTCAGAAAGCACCAGACTGCATACTGGAAGAACTGGATGTAATTTGTGAATAAGAGCGCTAATAATAATATATCCAAACAATTAAAATTACAGCTATCAAAGGCTTGTATTCTGCTTCAGATAAACACAAAAAGCTTATACTGTCAAAGGAAATTTCAAAAGAATACAAAACGTATATTGTTTGTTAAGTTGGAGGAAAAGGGACAATACAGATTTTGTGGGGAGGGAGGAGGAAGACAGCACCTTAGTTTTCCTACAATGTAATGTAACAAAGCTGACTTTCTACTGTATTGCACCATAGTCAAGAAGTAAAACAACTAAATGAAAATTAAAATAATTCTAACTGAAAAAGCCCAAAAAAGCAAGAGGGATATTTTATGAGAGTACCAAGCTAAAAATTATTGAGCTAAGATTGTTTTGCATAGGATTTTACAGGACTGATCAAATGTTCCATGAAGTGAAAACAGCCAGCTCATTATAGTACATTCTCTTACAATTCTGATTAGAAATCCTTCAGAAATATTTCTACAGCAAACTTGTATTGAGCCAAACATTTCAGTGCCCTTAAAATGGTGGGCTGAAAACATCTTGGTGTTGTACCAGCTAGAGAGACATTCACAGATGTTACCACATGCTACAGACCTTTTCCATCCCAAATCATCAGTGTTTATGCAAAATGTGCTAATTTGAGAACTGGTCAGTAAATTAAAAGCAAAATTCTTAGTTTTAACACATCCATTTTCTTATAAGAGAAAGGTCCCTAATCTAAAGTCTATGACAGATTTCAACATTTTATGCATGTTGATGTGCATTTTTTTCTGGGAAGAATTGCCACAGCTTTCATCAGATTCTCAGAAGAACTAGCAGCCCCCAAAGACCTACCATTAACAGGTTGTGGTTTTCAAGTTGAGCTCCGAGAGGGCCACCTGTAGAAAGGTGGGAACTGCGAGCTAGCAATGCTGCTGGCTCTCCCCCCACCCACCCCCCAGGTAGGAAAGATACAGCAACAGGGCCTGCCTTAGGGTGTCATGAGACAATACATAACAGTATCTACAATTACATAATTATAGAACACATTTCATAAATACTATGGATATACATAAAAAGGGGTAAGTATAAGAAAGACAGCAAGTTTTTTTAATAACAAACTTTAAAAAAAGAAAACATGTAGAACCAATGTTTTCACTCCATTTTGATCAGGAGTACCTAGATATTTTAATGTCATTCTCATTTTTTTTTTTTGGTCAGAAAGCACCAGACTGCATACTGGAAGAACTGGATGTAATTTGTGAATAAGAGCGCTAATAATAATATATCCAAACAATTAAAATTACAGCTATCAAAGGCTTGTATTCTGCTTCAGATAAACACAAAAAGCTTATACTGTCAAAGGAAATTTCAAAAGAATACAAAACGTATATTGTTTGTTAAGTTGGAGGAAAAGGGACAATACAGATTTTGTGGGGAGGGAGGAGGAAGACAGCACCTTAGTTTTCCTACAATGTAATGTAACAAAGCTGACTTTCTACTGTATTGCACCATAGTCAAGAAGTAAAACAACTAAATGAAAATTAAAATAATTCTAACTGAAAAAGCCCAAAAAAGCAAGAGGGATATTTTATGAGAGTACCAAGCTAAAAATTATTGAGCTAAGATTGTTTTGCATAGGATTTTACAGGACTGATCAAATGTTCCATGAAGTGAAAACAGCCAGCTCATTATAGTACATTCTCTTACAATTCTGATTAGAAATCCTTCAGAAATATTTCTACAGCAAACTTGTATTGAGCCAAACATTTCAGTGCCCTTAAAATGGTGGGCTGAAAACATCTTGGTGTTGTACCAGCTAGAGAGACATTCACAGATGTTACCACATGCTACAGACCTTTTCCATCCCAAATCATCAGTGTTTATGCAAAATGTGCTAATTTGAGAACTGGTCAGTAAATTAAAAGCAAAATTCTTAGTTTTAACACATCCATTTTCTTATAAGAGAAAGGTCCCTAATCTAAAGTCTATGACAGATTTCAACATTTTATGCATGTTGATGTGCATTTTTTTCTGGGAAGAATTGCCACAGCTTTCATCAGATTCTCAGAAGAACTAGCAGCCCCCAAAGACCTACCATTAACAGGTTGTGGTTTTCAAGTTGAGCTCCGAGAGGGCCACCTGTAGAAAGGTGGGAACTGCGAGCTAGCAATGCTGCTGGCTCTCCCCCCACCCACCCCCCCGCCCCAGTTCAACTGGAAAAGCACTGCCTTTAATTTTACTACATATATGGTTTCCATTAGCTTTTACATGAAGAAAGCTGTCTACGAATCACTAAAACTATTCCACTTACCGCATCAGTATGTTTTCATAAAAAAAATTCCCTATCGCTGGAGCTTGAGAAAAAGGAAATAAAATAAAATACAAACTTTACAAAGGTCAGAAGAGAGCCCTTTACCCCTTCCTAAAAGATAAGCTATATGTATTTAGGTATGAAGCCAAAAAAGTCTTCTTTAGATCCTAAGCGTTATATATAACAGATATGTTGAAAAACACATTATTGAACCTTAAGTAACTTAGAACTTGAATTTTCTACTGATACCACTATGTAATTTTTCCAATTACAAATGGCCATTTCTACTAAAAATTAATAAGTTAAGTTTTTGCCTTTAGGTAAAATATTGGCAAATAGCCACATTTTCCTTTGCTGATGTCAATCTGTATATGCAACACTTTTCTTTAAAAAACAAAACAAAACAAAAAATACTCTTTTAACATTGACACAATCAGAACAAGTCACTATATATGGATAGAAACAGTACTTTTCTAATGAGTACCCACAAATAATTTCTAATCAAATTGCATGTGAAATTGAAAATAATTTGTCTGCTAGATTGGCAGGAAGATTTTTTTTTAAATTTTGAAGTGAAAATATGAAAGATACTAGCTTTTTATTATTTGAAATTCTGATTTATGGCAGTTTTGTTGCGTTTTAAAACTGGAAGCAGTATTAAAGATACTAATATGGAAAGAAAACTGGTAGTGCAGTAGCTTCTTTTAAAGTCTGTAATTAGTGAGAAATAAATGCTACGAGACTAAATATTTCTAAGGGGGAAAAAAGATAGACTGCATTATTTTTTATGATGAACACAGTAATATTGTTTGAAGCCTGCTATTTCTTAGTACCAGAATGTGACTTATACAGATTACTATTAGCCTATAGGAATACTTGCCAACATGATGGCTTAATGTCTCTAACTTATTTTCTACCAAACACAAGGTTACGGGACAAAAAAAGAGCTCTGTAAATAGAAGTATGTTTCATATTTGGTTAAAGCAAGATAAAACTGAAACTGTCTTTCAAAAAAATTTCAAAAACTCTTCTTAAAATTATTTAGCATATATACAAATAGATACCAGGCTTCTCCTTTAAAACAAAGCACTATTTTTTTTTTATTTTAAGTACTTTCAGTACCAAGAACTGACTATAATACTCAGCTCATAATTTACTCTCCTTATAAGAATTTTTTTTTCTAAATTACTGATTAAAAAGGCTGGAATAAATTAACATTGTAAAAGGATTCCCCATAATTTAGGAAAATAAAATATTGTACACAGAGCCTACATACACAGCTCTGCCATATTTGCATAATTTTACTCTGAGAATCCAAAAAAAAACCTCTGCATTTTAGGCCTTTCTGCAAATCCTCATTACAATGATTTCCTAGTGTGTTAAACATACACTAGGTCACGATTTTTTATATCTACGCCTGGGTGTGGATCATCTTCATCCGAATGTTGCTCTGAGCCTTGTGAATTAATGTATTCATATTCAATAGGTTTTGGGTAATTATATGGGTAGCCATTGTCATCAAAAAATCTCCGAAAGGTAAATTCATAGAATGCATGTTCAGGGTGCTTTCCATTTTTATACCATCCATTCAGAGTGTCATTTACATTTTCTTCTTCATTATCATCACTCCATAATTTATCAGGATCAACAGGATCGAAATTTGATGTATCTGTTGGGTGTGTGATTTTAGGAATGTATGAAGCAGATTGCTGTCTCAGGTCACTGGAGAAATCGATTGTTTTAAAAAATGGATGAGCTTTTATTTCATCAGCACCATTCTTGCCTAAGCGATCTTCTGGTCCTCGGCAAAGTTTAATAATAAGATCAGAGGCTTCAGGACTCAGTTTAGCTTGTGGTGGAATGTGAAGAGATGTTTGCCAATTGATAACCTTTAAAGAAGAGTTTTAAAAATTACAAGAGAAAATATACAATGATTATATGTAAACCAGAAATCACAATTAAAAAAATAAGGTAAACTAAGGAACTATTAGCCAACATAAGCAATAGGTCAAAATTTAAATGGAAAAAAAGTGAGGAGGGAAGAGATGATTAGGAACAGCATAAATTACCTCCAAAATTTTTAATTTTGTCACAGGACATGTGTGCTCACCTAAGAGAGAAAAAGAGAGAGAGAGACAGAGAGAAAAAGCACCTCCCCATGCCATGATCCTTTTGCCTTTATTTCTCTATCTTGTTGGGATTTTAAACAGACAATACACATACATCAGGCATGGTTTCCCAAGCAGCTGGGGCCAGGATTCAAACCATGATCAGTTTTGTAAGATCTTGTTCCCTTAACCACTTTTGTTTTTTAGAGGTTTTTTTTTTTTTTTTTTTTGCTATAGGGCATGTACGCTCGCCAGACAGAGAGAGGGACAGGCAGAGAAATAGAAAGCGAGAAATCACTCCCAGGGGGGATGGCCACACTGGAATCCCTTCTCCTCCATTCTCCTCGCAGGATCTTGGGCACGCATGCACACGCGCCCGGTGTGAGTTTTAAGCCACTGGGTCTGGGACGCGAACCACGGTCGACTAAGTGGGAGTCCAGTGACATAGCCATTATGCTAACTGCTGGCCCCATTCCCTTAACCACTTTTTGAAAAAACACAGGATCTCACTATGTCACCATTCTCCTGCCTCATTCCCTTAAGTGACTGGGACTATAGACACATGCCAATACCCAACTCTTTCAGACATGATCTTGCTATGCTACCCATGCTGACTATGAACGCCTGATCCCTTTTGTCTCAGCAAACTACATAGCTGGGACTACCAGCATATGTTACCATATTTGGGTTTTTAGGGTTGGCTGGGAATTGAACCTGGACTCCCATGTGGCTTCTGACTTCCACACAGCAGTGTCAACCAGCACATGCTACTGCAGTGAAGTCCCACTGCATGTTTTTTCTTCTTAATTATTATTTATTTAATTTATTATTATTATTAAATTTGTTATAAGGCTAACCACAGAGAGTGAGAGAAAGTGAAAGAGCAAGCAACCAGGGCTTGGACTTGCACCATGGCTGGCCAAACAGGAGACCAAGGCCCCAACCACACTGCCCCCGG